AGAACAATGACTTGTTCCTTCTGCCAAAAAATTTTCTATAACCTGTAATTATTTACCCTTCCTTTTAAAATAGAGTACAAAATGAAAACAAAGCAACTCATCTTTTATACTTATGTGAACTAATAAAAGTGAATTTGTTTGCAAATGTTTGTTCTTTGGTAGTTGCCTGAACTCAAAACAATTTTTTGCTTAATAGCAGGTTGCTATTAAATGTTCAACTGATGCACACTTGGTTGCTCTCTTTAATATCACAACTGTTTTGCAGTCTCTCCACTACCAAATAATCGCTAACTTTGAGTCACTATTATTTGGAATATTACCAGCCAAAAGTAAAGTGCAAAGTTTCTCCTGCTCTATAGAAATGGGTTTATACTTGTGAGCTACAAAGTATTTTTTTAATTGTTCATTTAGTATTACATTAAGCACAAACAAGGCTCCTTTTTTTTTTTTTTTTTTCCATAATTAGCAAACTAGTCACAGAGACTGTCTTATATTGAATTCTATCCTAACTGTATATCCAACTCTGGTCTTGTGCCAGGCTAAGATTTGAGAATATCTAAAATATCTTAAGTCTTCTGAAAGTAATGAAAAATTCATATTGTAAACGAGCCTTGAAGAAATTGCCTGTGCTATGTACTGCAATGGGATATAATAAAATGTTGAAACAATTGAATAAGTTAGAAAATGTTTCTGTAAATTTAAATATTAATAGGAAATAAAAATCTGAATAAAACTTTAGGCCTCTTTTAAAACATTAAGTGGAAAATCAATAAGATTTAGGATACAAAAATTGTACTAAGCAGTATAATTTACTAAATTATTTTACATTCCTTTAATTTTATCTAATATTCTAGGTCAAGAGCCAGATTGGCAACATTTTGGGGATTTTGTGAGCCAAAACAAATTCAAAACTTGTTTTGTATATTATTTTTTAATCATTTATTATAAGCCAGATTAAATAGTATTTTATATTATGAATAAGCATAAAATCTAATAAAATTCTTTTAGTCATTTTAAAGATAACGAATTGATAACAATGGTGAAAATTTTATAATCAGAAAAAAGATAAGTCAGCAGTTCAAAATTTGTGCTTTCTATCATCAAAAATTGACTGTAAAGAATTTAAAATGGAACACCCTTCAAAAATGTGTGCCTAATTTTCATTGTTCTTGACATTTGGTGGACAATATTGAATGTTAAAACACCATATAAAGGTTGTCAGCTTAGAAATAATCCACTTAGAATGAATGAAGAAAATTTTAGATTTCTCTCTGTATTCTATGACTGGTTAGAATCTTGGAATAGCATTTCTGGAAGAAATGGCAAATTAACAAAGGAAACCTTCACTGCTTTGCATCATACAACCTATGCATTTCTAGAACTGACCAATTATTGCATAGAAGAACTGAAAATGCTGTACATATTACCAGGCAAATTTCAAACTGATCACCTTGAAGCAAGGTTTGGTCAATACCGACAACTTAATGGGGATCAGTATAATATCTCGATACAGCAAGTATTTGAGTGTAAAAAAAAAAAAAATTAGAATGCAATCAGCTTTAAAATTGAGCTTACCATTTAATCAGCAATGCATTAAAATTGATTTAAAGAGTTTACAAGAACCTGTAGCGGACCCCTCAAGCACCCTCATATCACAAAAGGGTGAGTAAGGTCACGAGAGGCCCGCTAGCATTTTCGAAGACGTTAAATCTGACGAGGTGAAACAACATAGATGACAGAACGAGGATATATAGGATATAAGTTAATTTATTCTAGAAAAGTAATAAAGAAATAAAGGTGGTCAGAACGGTAGAGATGCAGACGTTCCGGTGCAGGCATTGATGGTCGAGGTTGGTTGTTACAGGTGTCGTTACAGGTGGTCGCTGCTGGTCGTTGCAGATGATCGCTGCTGGTCATTGTAGTTTGAGGTTGATGTTGGTCGTTGCCAGGATGCCAACTTGACGTGTTGGGAAGGAAAGAGGAGCTGGCGTTGCAATGTTGTTCGGGCATGTCAAAGGTCCAGTGCAGGCATTGCGTGTCTGCCAGTCGAGTCCGATATTAGTAACCTCCTGTAATAATTACTAACGTAGTGTACGGGAAAGGTTATGGACAACGTGCAGGCAGCCAGTAGGGACGGAATGCGGAGAGTCGAAAGTTGGCAAGGAGCCAGAAGTAGTAGGCGAAGGAGAGAGAGAGAGAGTGAAGGAAAGTTTCCAACTATCGTCAAGTTGGCAGACAAAAAGAAATGGGAGCGTAACTTAATGCACAGCCCGGTGGTCTACATCCTGGCCATGGAGGCCAGGAGCCTGCGTACCAACCGTTTCAGTCGCCGACCCCAAATTTAGCGAGAAGTCACTGTCTTGTGGTAAGTGAGACTAGCAAGAGAATTGGTAAGCTAACACAGTAAAGTTTATCTAAAAAATGAGTAGACTTTAACTAAAAGAAAGCCTAAAAATGCCTAGAAGTATATTACGACTAGGTTCATAATATAATTAAACTGAAAAGGTATCTTGCTAGTCTCTACCACGGGTTATTAGCATGTAGGGAGCACAACCAAAAGGTGAAGGTCGAAATGACCTGTTTTCTTCCGGTTTAAGGCGCCAAGGAGGAGGTAACTCCGACAAAACAAACTGGGATGAAGTGACAGGAAAAGTTAGATATATATAAATATAGAATTGATGTTAAAGCGGATGATGTTAATAATTGTAGAGAAGTTCTACCTGTAATGTTATACTTAGCAGGTTATTGCTGTAATGCAGTTTTTAAGAAAATTAAATGCAATAGTTGCAAAGATTTAATATCTGGAAGTGTAAGAGATAACGTGGAAGAAATACCTGAAATAAGCAGCTATTTTCAGGGGATTAATAGAGGTTCTCTTTTATATCCTAATGATAAAACTATAAATTTTGTTCTCTATAATTATGTAGTCATTGATAAACTTATAAAAAATCATTCTTTTCTTCATTCAGTAAATCAAAGAAAAATAGCCATGGATATAACATTGAATGTTTTGGCAGATTGAGCTTCTTTTTGATGTTGACACTTGTGATGAGGGTCACAATATAGAAAAAATACAAAGAATGTTTGTCTGGAGCTCTACAAATGCTCTTTTAATTAATTTTTGTAATATTATTATTTTCCCTAGAACAAGTAACAAGTTAAGCAAAAAAAAGAAAACTTCAAACATTCAGCTAAATTTTGTATCGGTAACCTATATTTCTGAAAGTATTATTTGATTTTTAAATCTATTTATTGTTTGTATCTAATTTATTTGCTTGTTTGTATTTATTTGTTTCTTATTTGTTTGTTCATCATTTAATTATAATTTGTTTATTTAATTATTGTTTGTTCCCTAATTCATAATTCAGTTGTTACTGTATTTGAGTAATAATCTCTTAATGATTACAAAAATTGTAACTTTACAGAATAATTATTAAAATTGAAATAAAAAACATGCAAATTAAAACAATGCTGATTAGGATTTATATAAAATTTTCAAATGTGAAACAATTAAAATCATGAACGAATTTCAGTCTTAAAATTGTCTGTCTGTAACCTACTTTTCTATAAGTATTATTTGAATTTTAAATCTTTTTTTTTTTTTTTTTTTTTTTTGTATCAAATTTATTTACTTTCTTGTATTTATTTTATTTGTTTCTTATTTATAATTTACTTGTCTGTTTGTTTGTTTCCTAATTCATAATTGAGTTGTTGCTGTATATAGTGTAAGAATAATATTCATCAATAGTTACAATATTGTAACTTTACAGAATAATTACTAAAATTAAGATAAAATCATGCAAATTAAAACAATACTGATTATGATTTTAAACATGTTTTCAAATTTGAAACAAATAAAATAATGAACGAATTTCAGTCTTTAAAATTTAATGAAATGTAACATGATGTTTAATTTCTTTTTCTTTTTCTTTTTTTTTTTTTTTTTTGTTTTTTTTTAACAAAACATTCAGCAACATTTTTTTCCTTATCGGTTATTTTTTTAAAATTAATATGAAATAAAGATCTGTATAAAATCCAATTCTGTTTCTTTTATAAATGTATTTTTAAAAAGTTTTCTAAAACCAATTTTTTTCTTACAATTTTTCATTACATTATGATTATTGTCTGTTTCACTGCATGGACTATATTTGTGACGTCACTATCGAGCAGGTCTTCTATGTCAGTGGTCATGCCCTAACCCAGTTATTTGTGCTCTTCTTAAAGCTAATTTTTTGTTTTTTGTTTTTTTTTTTTTCTTTCTTGCCAATGTCTTCATGTCCTTTTTATATTGTTCTTTAATTTCTATTCAAATTTTTTATAATTTCCAACATTGGGTTCCCTTCACACGTCATATTTTATTATCCATAGCAATCTTTATATATCTGAAATAAATATTAACAATGTATTTATTTACAATGTGATGAACAACATTTTGAGTTACCTAATAAAATTATCACACCAAATAAGTTATTCTAAGTATTTCTAATAAGAACTGACACTTTATATGCTAAAATTAATATATGTTCACAACATATTTTCAGGACATATACAGGTTCTGGAAATTTTACCAATGTCAGTTTGTTAATACTAATTTTATTATAAAACCTGTCACAAGAAAATCTGGCTTTTATGTAATGAACCATTTTTGATTGTTTGAAATTTATCATTTTTATCTTGGTTCATGTTATCTTAAACCTATTGCAAATCATCTTTCTGTGTGTTAAGCATTTGTTTTCACAATTATTCTCATCTTCCATATTGGTTAAATTGATTTATATACTTCTCTGAACTTTATAAATATCTTTAGAACAAAAATGATATTAAGTTAAACATAGTTTGGCACAAGGCCATATTAGTAAATATCAAATTTGCTAGAAAAGGCCAATTATGGTAACCATTGCTCCACAGTAAGTACCCATTATGTATCATTGTGTGATTGAATATACTAACACTTACGAGGTTTACCTTCTTTATAAGTTTTAAACTTAATTTCATTTCAGTGATCTGGATACAGCAAGATGTTTGGTCATCAACTGTGTTTACTGATTTTGCTGCTCTCTCTAACTCCAGTATTATCACTCAACAATGGTCTTGCCCTCACACCACCCATGGGATGGTTGTCTTGGGAGAGATTCCGCTGTAATACAGACTGTGAAAAGGATCCAGACAATTGTATCAGGTTGGTAGATTTCAGATGCTGATTTGTCAGAAGAGCAGTTTTCTTAAGCTTATTAATGTGAATATTTTATATATATATATATAACAGAATGCATCTGTTAAAAGCTTTAAAATTACTTTCCAGGCATTTATTGCACTTTTGAGGATAAAAAGATTAAATAAACACTGCTAAGACTTTTAAAAATAGGTTTTTGTATCCATGGGTATTTATTAACATTAATAACTTTTTCTTTTTTTTTTTCTCTCTCTCTCTCTAAATTTGTATGGGAAATTTGAGCATCTTCTTGCAGTAAAGACACATTGGTTTCGAAATTCTTACAAAAATCAGATAATTGTTACATTTTAATGAAATACTCGGCATATTAAGGAATGAATTATTCTTTAAATTTTTTTTTTTTTTTTTTTGTGCGTACTTAAATACTGTATTTGTTATTCTTGGATAATTACACCTTTTTTGAAATTTTATTTGAAATATTCATTTGAAATAGTAATTCTTATACATTGTGAACAAATAGGTTTATTTATCCTGCAGCCTGTATCCATCCAAGACCAACTGTATGTAACTCTCTTAGTAAAACAAGAAATTTGACTAAATTACAATTATATCTCTAAATAATTCTATGACTGTACTCTTTCACTTTGCAAACAGGATCTGAGTTGATGATCATTGTTCAACCAACCATACACAAGTGTTTGTAGCATGAGTGTCACAGTAATTTCATCTTAATGTCTTCACACACTTTCTGGCTAGCTAGTATAACATTTTTATTTATTTTTGATTATTAATTTTATGTACCAATTTATGTAATAGCCCTGTTCTGGCAGTAATTGCAGAAATATATATTTGAAAGTAATGACAAATTTTTAGGTGTCAGCAAGTTAGTATAATTTTACACCATCAACACAGTTGTATCTTGAAAATGAACTTTTACGTTGGGAGCTTCACAGTTGAAATAAGTGTTGTTTGTCAGTATTAAAATAAACATCAAATGTAATTCTCGCTATCTCCCCCCGTCACTCTAGGCATTGTTTCTGGGATTTTTGGCATACCTAACCCTTTTTTGAATTCATGCTCTTCCCAAGGGTATTTATGCACAAGTGAGCACAATGAACTTGGCATACTAACTCTACTCTTTATACTGATAACTACAACACTATATATATATATATATAAATACACACACACACACTATATTCAGCAGAAATTAAACAGACACCAGAAAATAAAACTCATGAAAGAAAAATTGTCCTTTAATTAGATTGTTAATATAAGTGAACCCACTGCTGGTTTTTCTTCCACTCCTCATACACTGAGAAATGATGGGCACTTTGATGTGGCATAATGGTTAGCAAGAGAAGCTTGCTAGATCAGATCAGTTACAACTGAATAGTGAGTTTGATCCTCACTAGGTCCTCCACACTTTTGGCCTTGTGCCACATCTAAGCTACACTTAGAAAATCACCATACACTGAGAAATGAAAAATAAAACTTCATCTCCTTTTGATTAATTCTTCTTTAACCTTCCATAAGTTTTTAAAATTATTTCTGTTATGTCTAGACTATATAACTTGTCAACACTGTTAATTAGGAATTGGGTTAGGACAAAAACCTTTTAATTTTGTTATTGTTTGCTTATTCTAGGCTTGAAATCTCTAGGGGATTGCTTGCAAACTTGCTAAATTATAATGATTTTTAGGCATAACAATCACTACTTCCAGAATTGGACAAGTTAAATACTTTGTATTTTAGAACATTGTTGGTTAAAAAGTTTCAAATATTTTTTCTTTTCTTTAATGAACAAATGATTTAAACTGCTACAAGCAAATAATCTATGTAGAAACTGTTTGATGATATAATTTTTATCTCTCTAATCTACTATAACTACTGAATTAAGTTTAAGATTATTATTTTTGTTAAATAATTTGGTTTTGATTTATCAATTTTGACGGTCAAATGAATCTCTACATCCTTTTTATCTCTTATGTCCTTTTTACTATGCTGCCTCCCCTCTCTCTCTTTTGTCTTTCTTTCTATACCAGCAACAGATGCATAATCTGTATCAAAAGGCAAAAGTCGACTCCATTATTGATCATTGTTTTACCTTTTTAGATAATTTTTGTAAAGCTAATCTTTCAAACTCTTGACCATTACCCATTGATTAATTTTGCTGTCACATGCTCACAGCTGGCATAAACAAATATTAAATGCCCTCTTTGTTCATAAGTGCAATATATTGACTTCTTCTCTTTTTTTAGTTTAAAACCAATGATTAAAACTGTCTACATTTGTTTTGCAAAATTCTGTGTAAATGTATAGTTTAC